TCTAATTATGATGTTCACGCCTGTGATTGAGGAGGGAACATCGGTCTTTATAAGCAGATCAGTTTCACTAAGAATTTCACTACATTGTATACTAGAGGAAATAATTATGGGCAACAGGATAGAAGCAATGGAAACATGATATGCTCTTGAGAAAAGAGCCTTTCAGTCAAACCAAATCCAAACAGCATGGAAAATAAACAAACCACACGATGGCTGAGCTCGTATCGATTCAGTTCCTCGCAAACTGCTTCAATGATCGGATTGAGCCTTTCATTTGCAGATATCGGCAGCACTGAACACTTATTGGCGCCACCAGTGGTCGTAAAGCAAGGAACTGAAACCAATAAATTCAAATTCAAAATTCAGTTGGCTTATTTGATGAAAGGCCGTATGCAGCACTCGATCGGTCGCCTACAATTTGCTTCTCTACAGGCCCGAGGCTCATCCCTCTAGCTGAGACTAGGGGTGGGTACCCAGTAAAGGCACTCATCTCTGGACGCAAGAGCACTCCGTGTGACTCATGTGTCTAAGGGCTAAGTGCGACTATAATGATGACCTTCGCGGGACAGACACTTATTAATACGATACTACAACATCCCTACCGTTCGTTGCTCATCTCCCTCTCGTTGTCTGAACGAGTGCTCCAGAACAGCGTACATGACACGACCTATTCCAAACGATGGTTCAATTACTGATGGAGTGATCTCTTCGACGTGAACCTAAAGAAGAAGCCCAAGATTTACATTAGCTTGGTGTCTACCAAGGTCGACCTAACGTGACGCAAAAGTTATAGGTACTGCGTCTCCTACCGTCTTTGTCGACCTCTTCACCGTTAACATGTTTGAAGTCAACGAAAACTCATCATCATCCACTTTCAACTTGAACGCCCTTAAACAAGACAAGAGTTGCCGAATGTTCCATAATATAATTGGTATAATACAATAACAAAACTGAAAATAATGGAAAAGCAAATGTCACGGATCACGTACTCTGCTTGGATCTGCTTCTCAAGATTCTCAATGTTTTCCTCAGACATTTGCGCAAGAGCTATTTGAATCTGGAAATAAACACAGCTCGCTATTTCGATCCGTTACGCTATCGTTAAGTGAAGACTTACCCTCTTCGCGTCTTTTTTGAATTCTTTTCCTAATATTGCCATATTTGGAACAACCTCCACAACATTCACCGTTCGCGGTTCATCCAGTTTCTTCTCAGCTACCAGCTATAACAACACCATTCAAATACTTTGAGACACTAGTTTAGGACAATTCCAGCGAGAATGCTGTAGCAATAAGAAGAAACCTTGGTATTCGTGGCCTTTGAGTGCTGCGTAAGATCATAACATGAGCGGTCGGCATTACCAACACATTCGATCCACCCGTAACTGGTCAGAATTTCAGCATCCCAACAGTCCTTAAAGCATCATATCGTTGATATTCATGCTGTTGGCAATTGGATTATGACAACTACAAGGCGTAGCAAAGCGCAGATACTAATATTCATAACTAAAAGCTATTACGAATATTGTAACGACACGGTTTGAAAGCACGAAATCAAAAAAGAAGCATTAGGTGGATGTCAGGTCTGGCGATTTGTGCAAAGATACGAGGAAACAACTGCGACTGCGTTGTCGCGACTGCACAATCGCCAAGTCTGTCACCGACTTCAGTTGAAATCGAAAAAAGAAAATTGGAAACAGAGGAGCAAAATACGTCTTGTCATTTGTGTTTCATATTACATTTGTACGACAAATACAATCTTCTTGTGTCGTCTTAATTGGAGAAGAGAGATCGCAATGACTTTGATTAAACTTAGAATTCCAGCCAGAACGCCTCAGTCTCACTTGGACATACCTGAGCATAATGCGCCATTTCATTTCCGAGATGCTGGCGGAAACGGAGACGCCGTGAATCCACCCCAACCTTGACCAAATACATGTGCGTGCGGGCCATATAATATCCTAACGTTTCATTCGCCACAACACCCTGAACTGGTTCAGTAAATCGTAAAAACAGAAGGGTAATTGCCTTTTCAATGCAAGCATGTGCATTTAAAGAATGCACTATTCGTCCTACCTTTTCTACTGCTTCTCCTATAGTCATCGATACAGCCGGCTGTCCGTCCATTTGATTACAGGCGGAGAACAGCACCATCGGATAAGAACTTACCTATAGAAGCAAATGCAAGGTAATGTCAGCCAGTGACATTCAAGAAGATGTAAAAAAATGTAAATGATGGTGGTCAAAAAAGTAGGAAAGAAAAAAGTTCGGAGCCATGCAACTGTACCTTCTTGAACTTCGGAAGAGTTTTATCATTTGGATCAACAAAATGCTCAATTTCGCACATAGTAAATTCGCGGACACGGATGAGTCCCTGACGTGGTGAGATCTCGTTACGGAATCCAAGACCGATTTGAGCAGCAGCAAACGGTAGTTTGCCCTATATGAATGAAAAATGCGAATATCATGAGATAGAACATAGAATACAGACACTGAAACTGAACTCCGTGAACAATGTGCTGCAAAACTCAAACCCACTTGATTAAATTCTAGAAGACGCTTGAAATTGACGAATATACCCTGGGCGGTTTCTGGACGCAAATATGCCTTAATTCGACTATATGGGAAGCCAGTAGGTCAAAGGCAATAAAAAAAAACGATACTAAAAATATAAACATACCTTGAAATCTCCCGTTGGTCCTATTTGAGATGGAAACATAAGATTAAAAGCGATTGGAGGGGTCAAATCGTTTCCGGTAGTTGGTGATTTGAAGCCGAATTTCGTTATCACCTGTAGTAAAAGCTCTTGTGAATACCACAGGAACACGACGGATTAAGGCGTAGACTAAATGTTTTTTCTCGTCTAAACATACCTGTACCGAACTAACACCCTCTGCCCTGTTTTAGCGCACCAGTGAGTGCATAAATAATAAATAAATAAATAAAATAATAAATAAATAAATAATAACCCACTTCCTGCATGTCCTTGTCATCGAATCCTTCAAGGCGAGCCAAAACATCCTGCAGCGCGGATTTGGTAGCCTCGTCCGCTTTTTTATCCTATGTGGGTACTGTATGAAATGTCAAAACACTAACAACGTTGAACACATCGGTATGAAAGGATCGTGGTGTAGTTTACTACTTTGTTTATAAGCTTTCTTGAAAAAGAACAATCGAAGCCGTAAATCTCGTGAATAGGAACACAATATTAGAATATCGGAGCGAAATTGAAAAGAATTATTCACTTACAGCAATGATCTTCTCCGCTGCATTCTTGATAAGATGATCAGCTCGGAAACACTCTCCATTTTTAACATCCTTCACCATCCAATCGGCGAAACGATCAACATGCCCAGAAGCTCTGTAAGGTACCGTTCACAGGGCTTGAAGCAAGCGATCAGTGATCAGGCTAGAAACAAAGGATACGTAACAAGAGGTGAATGGGCTAGCGGCTGACGATCGCTGGAGCGGACCGAATCTATCCATTAGTTATACACGCCTAATCGCCTAGTTGTCGACTCCCTTGCTTGCATGCGCCACCTCAAACTATGAATCACTACCATCACCACACGCTCTTTTTTCAAATTACAAAATACTCCCGATATGACAGAAGATTCAGCAAAGTGCCATAAAAATAGTAAAATAGTGCATGGATTCCGCCTTCAATGCGACGAGACCAAACTGCAGAACTTACTTGAGCACTGCCTCAGGTGTGAGCGACGTACAGTCCACTTCAAGCATTCCTTCTTCGAGAACAAAATGTTTACGCCATTCTTGCAGCATGTTTGCCTTAAGAGCGCACCCCATTGGACGAAATCGTATCTAAAGCAACGTAAAATAGCTTGGAATGAAAGAACTCCCAGCAAAGAACAAACTGAGCACATCATTACGAAAAAAGAACATGTGCAATTGAAAACTAACAGTCCTGTGACACCTCCATATATCGAAAACGACTGGTCGTAGAAGAAACGACGCTTGAGCAGATCTTCGAGCTTTAAACGGTCAAATGATGCTTCCTTTGGGGCAAGGGCTACCTCCTAAATGAAGCAGACTGAGCAGAAAGAAATCTTCACGTGTTCTCTTAACTGCTTTACGGGCTTTTCAAAAGAGAGCAGATCTTAAAAAAGCGGGATGTTATCGAAATATACGGGAGCATCGTCTAGAAGTAAGCTTGGGAGAGGGGTAGGAACTCCAGGGGAAATGAACATAGCTCACACACTCTCGACTCTCTCCACGCTTAAGGCTTAGTCCCGTTTGAAAGACGAAAAGACAATGTTTTACGCACTTAAATGCACCGCCACCACAACGACCTCGTATTTTGGGACAGAACTAAAAATGTTTGCCTGCAGAGGATATAAAACAGGGTATGGGTGGTGCAGGGAGCATGGTTTTACTAGTATTTTGCAAGTATCAACTAAACCCACCTTGGACATGAAACGAAAGGGAAATAACGGAGGAAAAGCGAAAAGAGAACATTGGCCTCACCGTGTCTTCTAGCTTCTTCTTTCTCGCTTTCAATTCAAGGACCGCTTTGTCTATATCGATTTTCGGAGCACCATTTGCCTTCAACGATAGTTGGAATTAATTGGAATACAATGTAGCCAAAGGATGTTAGCTTTGAAGAAAAGAGACACAACGGGATTCTGTTTTTGAAAGAAAGCACCTACTTTCAGCTCACGGATCAGGTCTCCATACTCCTTGACAGCGATCCGAAGTGGAGCCAACTGCTAAACAAGCAGTAATTAAGCCTGTAACTACTTAAAACAACATACTTTCGTAGTAACTTACCGCTTCTATTTCAGGTGTAGCCATATTTCTCAAGTACTCGGATAACTTAAGTTTTGTCTTTTTGGTGAATCTGGGAGGAATTGAAGTCTTTCTTCCAACTTTCTTATTAACAGCGGTCTCCGCCTAAAAATTGCGTACGTTGCAACGAAAAAAAAGAAGAGATTGGTGGTCACCTTAAGAAGTACG